TGCATGAATGAGTCAGAGCAATGGGCATGTTTTTTATGAGAGTATAACATTATAGCATGATATAAAACTCAAAGTTGATTTTACATGATATTGCCCCTTTGTTGCCCCTTTTGGAGACCTGCCTCCAGATTAATTTCTGATTTAAAAATCCTTCATCTTAAAATGATAATGTTTTACTCTGCCCTCCCCAGTTTTGTCTAGATATTATTTACTTGTTTTATTTTTCGGATTGCACAGTCTTGATACTTTGATGGTTGTACAGCTTTYATACTTTTTTGTTCCAAAATTTTGTATATCTTGTTCTGATTGTATTTGATTGTACAGCACCTAGTGAATCTATTTCTTTGAAAGGTGCTATATAAATAAAACTTTATTTTACTTACTTTACTTAATAAAAACAGATGCAATAAGAAAAAGTGTGACCTGAAAACCCAACAGGAGTTATAAAACATTTCTTAAAAGTATTAAGTTGATGCTTAAAAAAATAAAAAACAATCCAATCAAGTCAATGACAAAACATTGTCTCTACAGTGAGTCCATGTCCACTGCCTCTGCTGTTCATTAAGGCTCCTCCACACATCTCACAGATCATAGGTTTGTAAGAGATGAAGCAGGCGAGTTCCTGAGAGTGCATGAGGCTCTGAATGGTTCCTGTCATTRCTACTGTCTACTKTGCAGTTCCAGTCCCCACCCAGCACCAAATGCTCCTCAGCATTACAATCTTTAAGAACGTCAAAAAGTTTGTCCCAAAAAAAAAAAAGGTTCTCTCTCTTCCAATATCTGGAGCAAATATATTAATAAAAAGTAATGTTACCTCTTCACAGATCACTTTAACTTTTAATAAACAACCTTTAATTATTTCTTCACATTTGACAGACTGAGGAGAGAAGCAATTTGAAAAAAAGTATTCCAACCCCAAAACTGGTGTTGTTCCCATGACTAAAATAAAGTCACCATCCCACTCCTTTTTCCACTCAGCTTCATTATCTATGGAGCTGKGTGTCTCTTCTTGTAGAAAGACAATATCTAAATTTTTCATATGACACAATCTGAACAAAGCTGCTCTCTTGTTCATGCTTCTGGCACCATTTAAATTTAAGTTTCCAAGCTTTAAGTCGCACATGTTGTGGAGTAGAAAATAGACATAGCCTGTCCACAGCAAGAATAAGACAGAGTTACTCGTTATCAGTTTTTCTTCTTGCTTCATTAGCAATTTCTTTAAGCGATAAATCTCTGGATCTGTAAAGGCCTTTTGGCTGCCATCCTCAGAGGGTTTTTGAAAGTACTTAGTCGTTAATCTGGGAAAAAGTCCTCAATTTTAATGTTTTGACGCCCTTTGGTGTCTTTCAGAAACTTTTTTAAACTACTGAGTGGGATCACAGGTTTCCTGGGAGGACAGGATTGAGAAGAGGCGATGGATTCTAGATCAGAATCACTCTCAGCGTCACTGCTGGAGACTGCAGGGGAAGACTTATCTAACACCACTGACTTCATCAGCAGCTTTGCATTTTTTTTTTGTTTGTTTTGGTACGAACTTCATCAGTGATCACATTGCTGTCCTCATCCAGACAGGATTCAGTCTCYCTTTTGTCACCTTGGGCCTTTACATTATGGCTGGGCCCTGCAGCGCTTTCACACTGCTCAGACACTGTGTTCATGAGCTCAGACTGTTGGTTCTCATTAGGATGGAMCCTCAGAAACCACCTTTTCAGGTTCTACTGACTCTGGAGCAGGAGGCTCAGTGGAACCAGTATCCTTTTGTCCTCTTTTCAGGAGCTCTGTCATCAGCTGTGGTGTTCAGTGTTTTTCTATTTTCTCCATTAGTCTCACCAGCTGATTTTTCAGGACARGCTCTGACAAGGTGTCCCTCCATACCACACCCAAAACATTTCATCTTTTCAGATGAAGCATAAACAGTATAATCAAAACGTCTGCCTTAAAACGAAAGGCCATATTAAATTTCTCACTATYATCTTTGAGAACCATGTGAACCTGCCTTCTGAAAGACACCACGTTTTAAATGTGGTGATTTACAGCCCAGTGGAGTCATTTTGATTCCAGACATAAGCTGTCCATGTCTCTCCAGTTCCTTTGTTAACACCTCAATGGACACAAAAGGYGGAACTTGTGATAAGATAACACATTCTCACTCCCGATTTGTCAACATATTGACGCTTTTCCAAAGTTCCCTCTGCGTCTTATTTTGACGCATCGGGTGACCCCCTTGCATCAGTCCTTGTCGCACACGGCTTTTCCGTGTTGCGCCAATAGTGGTCTTTGGGTCAGGGGTCTGAGGTTAACATGAGGGATCAGGATAAATGGTTAAGTTTAGGAACTGGGGTCAGGGATAGGATGTCTTCAGCAAATATTAGGTAATTTTAGGCTTTGGAACAGTAGTTTTTGTGCATTTTCTACAATTTCAGAAATTATTACAACAGATTCCGCCCCATACCGTCAAAAAATGACGCAAGGGGAGTAGCCGACGCGTCAAAATTGGACGCAGAGGGAACTTTGGAAAAGCACCAATATGTGATGACTCGGGAGTGAGAATGGGTTGGATAAGATGAATTTTTTTGGCTGGGTTAACCAAGGGCACAACCTTAATAAAGGTGTCCTGGACCACCACACCACTCTCAACAACAGATTTCACTTTTTCCACACTATCAAGAAAAATGGCAACTCCACTATTCATTCTGGAGGCAGATTTAACGCTGTCATAACCGACCAGCGCTCCCACGGCCAACGCACACTCCTCCACAGAGCAATTCAGGTTCAGACACAGTTTGAGCCTGTGATTGAGTGTCAGCTTCTTCATGACACCTGCTCTGTGATCCATGACTCCGGGATGGTTATGTAGGAGTCAATCTAACAACTTGACTGATGAGAACTTTCCTTTGACATACTTGGATGGGAGATCAACTAGGAATACCAGGTGCTTTCTGGGCTATCCTGTAATTATTTTTTATTCTGTATTTTATTTTACACTTGTTATTGTTTGAAGTGGTGATCTTTGGAAAGTTTATGAGCAGTTAACCTCTTACCTGCTTCAGATAGCTCTCATAATGATCTCAGTTTGGAGAAATTGAGTTTAGCTTATAAAAACCCATGTACAACAGGTAAGATATTAACTGTTCACAACTTAGACCCCCCATTGCAAACTGGATAAAATGGCCATTTAAACATGTATTCCCACACCAGATGATTTTAAAAGAAATTAAAGAAACATTTCTGTTTTGCTTTGAGTCATTGTTGATGTTCATGTTTCAGAAACACAAATCAAACAATGTGACCCCGGCGCGGCGCTGCGGCCGCCTGATGGAGAGCTGCTCTTCACACGTGCCGTGCTGCGACCCCTGCGCCTCCTGTCGCTGTCGGCTCTTCAACACCATCTGTCACTGCTGGAGAATGAACCCTCTGTGTCTGAAGAGGACCTAGGAGCGCACACAGACATGTGTAACACATACAAACCATGTGCACAAAGTGGTACACAACATCACACACAGGCCCAGAGCCTGGAGTCATTTTCTGTTTTTCAGCACAAATGTGACCATTCCTCAAATATCACACAAAACCCAACCAGAGAAGCCTTTTAACAATCATTATTCACTGAGGTTGTTCCAAAAGTATGACAATCATTGTAATCAATAGTACAACAATTCAGAGACAAGCAATCTACAGAAAACTGTCAAGACTCATGATTATAACTACTTTGGGACATGAGGTGGTTTAGATCAATAAAGCACATAATAGAAAAGGGTGCAGCATGGTGACTCAGTTGGTAGAGCTGATGCCTCTCAAGAATTGAAACTCAGCCCAAGGCCCTTTCTGGGTAGAGTTTGCATGTTCTCTCCATGCATGCGTGGGTTCTCTCCGGACACTCCAGCTTCCACCCACAGACCAAAAAACATGACTGTTAGGTTCATTGGTAACTCTAAATTGTCTCTCTGTGTGAGTGAGAGAGYGAATRGTTGTCTCTATGTGTTCCTGTGACGGACTGGAGACCTGTCCAAGGTGTACCTCACACTGTGACTGCTGGACAAGTGTCCCTAAAAGGAAGAAGCAGATACAAAATTGATGGATGCACTGTAAAAAATGAAATGTTGGATTTACTTAACCATGTTATGACCTGGTTCCACTTATCTGAGTTGAGTAAATTCAAAGCAATATACCAGTTTTTTAACCAAAGAACATGAGCATGTTGCTTTGAATTTACTCAACTCAGTTAAGTGGAACCAGGTAACATAACATGGTTAAGTAAATCCAACATTTCATTTTTAGAGTGTGRATGATGTGGAAAAGCCTGAAGGAAAACCCATCTATATAACAAAGTTTCTCTGCAGAGAAAATAGCTTAGCTGAGCTTAAGTTTATCTAAAATGTACTTTAACCCCACACRTATTTATATTGAAGCATCCTCCTTCCCTTGAGGAATTAAAAAGTGCATAAATKTTTTTCTTATTTAAATATTTGCAGTAAGTAGCTGCAGAAACCTTTGGTTTTACATGTTTTCTCTACATGTGTGGTTGTCTTTGGTTGCTCTAATTTCTCATTTCCTCCCACAGTTCAGAAACATGGGGTTTATTAACTAGAAAAATGTTTTAAATTGACCTTAAAATGTGTGAACATGTCTGTTTGTCTTACATGTCCTTGTGACCTACCTGCTTACTGCTGGGTCAGGGTTCGGCCCTCACATGACCATGAACTAAACAAAGTATGTTTAGAAAATGTGTGTGGATCCAAGGGTGGAAATTCCATCTCATTATTTACAGATCAGAAAACTGGGAGTTGTTTTAAGACCATTATTTTGTGGAGGTTGTTTAAAATCCAGTCAAATGAATCTGTTGTGAAAATAAATGAAAACTAAATATTCTTTACTGTGTTCACCAGGTAGACGATCACAGAACATCTTCATCCTCCGTCATCATTTTTGAGTTCTTGAGACATTTGTTTAGGATCTGGTTCACGGGGACTTATGTCGAGCTTATTCCTTTCTTAAAATTTTTTTAAATACATGAAACCATGAACTATAAGAACATGTCCCTGTACATTTGACACACATAATTAAAAAAAATTACAAATTAATCATGTTTACTGATGTTGACTTTAAAACGTATAAACAAAAACTCTGCTGCCCATTAAAGATTTTAAATGTTTTTAGTCTGCAGGGCAAATAATGGTTTGAAAATTTCAAATATAGGTGTAATTTTCCTCAGTCTAAAGATTATTTAGAATCATAAATTTCATTTGACTTGGATTAATGGTGTTTGAATAATTGTCACTGATCACTAAAGCAGCTTTTTAATAAATCCAATATTTTAACAAATCAAACAAAAAGCAATACACTCCATATGAAGTAAATACTTGGAGAAGAGAAGAGGACCAAGTGTAGAGCCCTGAGGCGCACCACATGTAAAAGTCTCCTCTCAGTTGAATAAGATCTAAATCACTTTAGAGCAGAACCCTGAAGGTCCACCCAGGTTTCTGGGTGAGATATGATTGCTCCATGGAGTAGCTGTTAGGTCCATTATCATCAAAACAACTCCGTGACCAGAGTCTGTGGCTAAAAGAACATCGTTAACAACCCTCAACAGTGGCAACTCAGTAATGTGGCAGGTCTCAAAGATGAACAGTGATGGGTGGTACTGTATAAGAAAAACAAAACAATAACAACTAGACATGGGTTTTTACGATGTAAAAACAAGTGTGCATTGCCATGTAGCATGCCATTGCCTGCCGCAATGGACTTGCAGAATGAACTTGTGACCAAGTTCAAATGTGGTTTCTACACCAGCCTGTGCTGATCAAGTCAGCAGGTGTTTGTAATGAGGATAATTGTGTGACAATATGAAGTTTGTAGAGATTTTCTGTTAAAGTTGCTGTTGCTGGGTTTCAAACCCTGATCTCCCACATGAAAGCCCATGGCACTAACCACTAGACCACTGGAGCTGTGGTAGAGAACCCTGCCAGGGGTTGGTTTGCATGTGTGCAGAAAGAGGCCACATTGCCAATGTAATCGTTGTCACTAATTTGAAATATATAACAACAATAAAGCAATATTAGGACAATATTATAGTAAAACATGAAAATACAATCATATTAGTATTGTAAACACTGAACTACTGAGTAGAAATATTAAACTATGGTGCAGTACCAAGTTGAGTACAGCATGGGGCAGTATTAGACCAATACAAGGTCCCATTGACTGCCATTAAAATTTATTAAACATTTATCTTTCATAAACTATAAGTTTTACAGGCACCAAAAGGCACAGCCGTCATTTGGCACAGGAGCTTTACAGATATAAACTACAATGGCAGCTCTAGGTCAAAGCATGGAGGAGGAGAAACATGCCAAATTTCAGATGACTTGGATGGGAAATGAATCACAATAGTGTGCATTGCATTGGCAATGCACACTGATAATCCAAGACAGCACATTACTGCGTTGAAAAATAAGCTTTGTTTGTTCCTTTAGTTAAAAGTTTTCTTTTCTATATTAAATGTAAGCTATCTTAGCACATAAAACACCAACACCAGTTCCTGTCATGACTCAAATGTTTACTGTAAAGCTGTAAAAGAATATAAATGCTATATTTCACTTACAATRCATCAATTCTCCATAATACCACTAAAAACTGTAACAAATCAGTAAAGAGTGTCCCTCTGTGATATCCAGTTTAGTTACTGTTGTTTATTCACTGTGGAGCAGCTCTTTGGTCTGAGCCAGTTCAACACTTAGGTTGTGACAGAAACATCCTTTTACTGTCAAGTTTTAGTTTCCAGATTTCCTTTACTACAGGAAATCACTCAAAATGTGTTTGGTTCTTTTTGTGTTTCCCAGTCTTGTTGCTGTTTAATGTTTTCAAACATGTACACCACTACAGACTGATGTGGAAAACTATTTTATGTGCATAATTATTATGATAATTTCTTGTATTTAATTATTAGTTCAAATGTGAATTCATGAGTTCTACCTTTTATTTGTCATCTAATAAATATGCTGTAAGCCTCTGATTTCAGTGCATTTATTTCCAGTAGATATATCCTGAAATACTTTAAAATCTTGGTATTTTTACTAATGAGAAGAATCAATCKTAGGTTTTGTATAAATATTATTTGATTTGATTGAAAGACCCCTTTAACACTGGATGACATCTTTAAAAGTCATTCAGAACATGGATGATCACTATAGGGTTTTGAATGAAAAAGTTCAGCCAAAGATCAATGTTTTGTGTAAAAGTTAATAATTATCTTACGTGTTGTAAATCCTGAACAGTTTGGAGAAATAAGGTTTAATTCTCACAGGTCTGAGCACAATCAAGACCAACACTCACAAAAAAAGTAGTGGATTTTGTTTAAAAAATATGTTTTCCAAACGCATTTACTTTACACAAATGTGTCAGACTGATACCAAGTACACACACAAAAAAGTGTTGATTTTGTCAACAGGTTCTACTCAACTGAATTGAGTAAAAAATTGGAGAAAATTTGCTTTAGATTTTTTTGAGTGTAAGTACAGGACTAGTATTGCCGATTCGATGCAGATACTTGTCATTTTCATTGATTAATTATGGGATTTTGCTTTTAGTTAATCGATTATGCTGTCAGCTGTGACTGCTGGATATGGGCACCATTGACGCCGTGACCCTGAAAGGAAGGACGTGTAATGGCTGGATAGTCGATTATGATAAAATGCAGAACAGAGATTTTTAAATGTTTTGTATTAAACGCTTACAACAATATAAACAATGTAATTATTGCCTTCTACAACATGTGTTTAAGAAAAAAAATCTCTGGTGCATCAGAGACCACCGCACATATGCATAACACCAATGCACCAGAACTCAGAACTCACCAGAACAGATTTATTGTTTTGGGTGGGGGTCCAGAGTGGTGGTGGTGGGGTGCTCATTGGTGGGTCTGATGGATAGCCCTTCATCAGAGTTTAAAAAAAATCTGAAGCTCCTAATAGTTTTTGAATTATAAGCATTTTTGTATGTCCAGACACACCCTTTTCAGGTGGAGCCCCCTCCTCAATTATGGGGTCTATCATAAAAGCGTTGGCTGGCGCAGTGTAGGTCAGACACATCTGCTTTTCTGCCAAATTTCCTGTTCATCGGTGCAGCCAGTTGACCAAAAATCAGTGGCAAAAAAAATTATCAAACAGTACGAAAACAAAACAATTCCCGCTTCAACAACACAACAAAAAAATAACTTCCCCAGCACACAACATGATGTAGAGGACTAATGACTAACTCCAAATAATTTGGACTCTGCACTACTGACTTTATTTTTCCCTTTACTTGCTAACAATTATGTCAGTAGTGCAAATAAAGTTTAAATAAAAAACGTTTCCATCACACACACACAGTATCCATCCGATCCGATACTCATCTTGGTATCAATAGTATTGATACTGGTATCGATATACCCACTCCCACTATGGTAGCTTTATCTCCAAAGCTGCATCCTGACTCCAAAGTGAGTCGAGCCAGGGTGTGACSCTGGGGGCAGAGCAACTGTTGGTGTGTGGAGAACACAGAAAAGTATTTTGAGAATCCAGAAAATAGTCAGAAAAAGTRTCAAATAGGTTTTGTCCATCTCCAATTTACATTTGACTTATTTTAACATCAGTTAATGTACACTGCCCCTTTGTAAAGAAATCTAMTGAAAACTAAGATTGTCCTGTAGCACCTTCATGACTGCCTTCACTCCAAAAGGTTTTCCAAACTTGCCACAATCCAGCACATTATAGGTTGTGTAATTAGAACAGAGCCACCATCATGTATGTAGAGGTGAAAACTCTCTGGATGTCAGATTAAAGTGCCTCTTCCAAAATAATCTTAAAGCAGGGTACACACCGGACACYGTACACGCAGGAGCAACCAGTTTACATGCAAAGTCTATAAAAATAATATTGAACTTTTGCTGCTCCAATCACGTGACGGTTTTCTGAATGTTGCCCACTAACCTGAAACAGAGGGGCAGGAGCTCTTTAGCTGAAACCGACCGTCTGCAGTTGGTGTTCTGGCTGGAGATATCAGCACGGATGTGGGTCTCGTTAAACTGACTGCGGTGTTTAACTGAGCTCAGGACAAAAATAGTTTTCAGCTCGCAGCTCCTGGAGTGGTGAAACTCACCGAACAGACTGCCTCTAAATCATCTGGTGAATTAATTATCTGCTGTACGCAACATTAGCTTGATCTCAAAAAAGCAAAGCCATTTTCTTTATTTCATCTTTATTTCATCCACCATTAAAGACAGATTGAAAAAAAAAAACAAGTCTCTCCTCCCTCTTCAGATGCGTGTCTAATCTGAGTCCTGGTCTGAACGTAGTCCGTCCAACTTGAGGCGCTTTAAATCTTTGAAACTTACAGTCATTCAGCAATCTAGAGGTTGATGTTGCTTAGTAACTGTCCAGTTCATGATTCAGTAAGGAAATGTTCTGTGTCTTGTTAYGAAAGACAAACTGCTGATGTGATAAACTATTTGACTTTTAAAAAGGAGCACAAAACAAAAGACCAGGGATTAAAATTGACTTAAATCTGACTTCAGGGAATAAAATAATAAATACCCTTTTCCCCAATCTGTTGTCTGACTTCAAATACATCCAGACATTTCTTGTTAAACGATCAGTGAAGATGAGGGTTTTTTTGGAAACAGTTTTTCTTTTCCTGCCACACACCAAGACTCCATGGTTCACTGTTCATCAGACAGGACTGTTTTTCGCTTAAAGAACCAGAATAATCCAGAAAATATGAGTAATTACTTCAAACAGTCATGATGAATTTACCTAAGGCATTTTTAGGAAAACTGCAGAACCCTTCTGTGTTGAAAGAGGAAGAGATGAATGTTAGTCACAGAGAAATAAATGCAGAAGTTACAATAAAAACCTGTTTAAAGATCTGAGTGCAGTCAGTAAGTCATCTGGCATCATGGCCGTGTGTAATGAGCTCAGTTTTAACGTGGATCATGGCTACCTGGAGGGTCTGGTTCGAGGAATGAAAGCTGGGATTCTGACTGAGGCAGACTATCAGAACCTGACCCAGTGTGAGTCACTGGAAGGTAAGAACTGAGAGTGCAGTGCAGAGCTGACAGAGATCATTTTATTTACACATTTTCTTCACCTGGAGCTCATTTATCAAGAATGTCTGAAATAACTTTCCCAGAATTTCTCTCTGTGGGTGAGAACAAAAATAAATGCAGCTCAATAAAAGCCTCTCTGAATATGATGCTATGGTTGTTTTAGTTTGAGTTTGTCTAATAGAGACAGTCACAGCTGATTACAGCCTTCTAATTTAGCTCAACATGACAACAGGGGGCTTGATTTGAGTGGTTTTGTTCACCCACCACACACAATGACACTGCTATGACTTAAACTAGATACATATTTAGATAAACTAGAAAGATTGTGATATTTTTCAGCACCATCACTGAGACCGTCAACACCGTCAGTTAGAAATCCTGACAGTGTTGACATCTTATGGAGTTGACAGAATGCCATACTACTTCCAKTTAAATGATGTTATTCTCAAGGAGGTCATTTTGTGGATCATCAGTGTCTTTCCATCATTTAGCTCACTTTCTGAGTGTAAAATCCTAGTTAACTATTTTGACAAACAATAAATATTAAAGTGGACATATGATGATTTTAAATCCTTCTTTTTCACATTTTAATCCTTCAGTTGGGGTCTATATAAGTGGAACTACACTGTGGTCTGATTTCCTCCTTATTGTAACTCCACAAGCCCCTCTTTCACCCKTTTTCTAAGGTGGTCTCAAATCAACTCATTTTGAGGCTGTCTCTTTAAATTCAGGGGCTTCACCCCCCCAATTTAAAATCTTTGCAACTAAATGATAAAGTTTAACTTTAAGTGTTTTAGAATGGAACACGGCCTTTGCTGTTGATGTGAGTCTTTTGTTATGACCTTGTCATCCTGAGACAAAGGCAACCGCAGTGTTAGCAGTGTTAGCAAAGTTAGCAGCGTTGCTTTTGTTGCAGGATGATGACTGTACCACAACAGCCAAGCACCAACCGGAAAGGCTGCATTCCATTCCATACTTAAATGTAAACTTTAACATCTAGCCACAACATTTAAGATTTAACTTTTACAGACCCCCGTGACCCAAAATGGTGGGTAAAATACATCAGATGGAAAAAGACATTTAGATTTAGAATTTAATATTTAGACATATTTTTTTTACATTTAAATTAAACCTTTAGTAAAAAGATTAAAGGATTTTACACTCAGAAAGTGAGAATAATAATGAAAATATGTCAGTGACATTTTTTAAGCCTTTTGTTTTAGTCTTGGCTCCCCCTTTTCAGGGATGTATGGTGAACATAACCACTGCTGAGCCAACCCATTCTCACTCCCGAGTCGTCACATATTGACG